TGCAGTATTTATTGATGTCCCATCGGTTATCGGCAATGTGGATTTCGTCAATCTTGGTAGCTATGACTTCCAAACACCAGAGCGCGATCCTAAAGTTGCTGATCATAGTGCGCCCATATATGAAATGTTCGAACGCGATCCCACCCACAACATTGACTACCAAGTACAGCATTGGCTCAATAACTCCGCACCCAGTAACAAAATCCACATTGGTGTACCAGCTTATGGTCTTTCTTGGACTATGTCATGTAAGTCTGGTTTTACCGGTTACCCGCCGATTAAGAAAACTGTCGGTAGGGGCGCCGGCGGCAGACAGTTACGCAAACCTGGCTTAATGAGTTGGCCTGAAATTTGCGAAAAGCTACAGGCAGACAAAGATTTGGCGGGTGAAGCTGCGCCTTTACGCAAAGTTAGCGATCGAAGCCAACGCTATGGCAGCTATGCTTATCGATCAGCCAACTATGATGACCAGAACGGTCTTTGGGTGAGCTATGAGGAACCCAGCACTGCAGCAATCAAGGCAAGTTACGTATTCGCCAAGGGTTTGGGTGGCGTTGCTTTGTTCGATTTGTCGCTGGACGATTTTCGTGGCCAATGTACCGGTGAGAAGTATCCAATACTGAGAAGTATTAAGTTTAAATTGTAAAATCGTTTCTTTGTTAATAAATTATTTGTAAATTAGTGTAAGAACTATTGCATTGAGTTTCAATAAGGTGGTTTGGAGTGCAATGCCAAAACCCATACCGTGTTCCATACCTTTAATGATAACGCTTTGACTCTGTATGTCTGATGTAATAAATCGATGACCACATCTGGCCGTTCAGAGCTCCAGATTCGGAGTCCCTTCTGGCCTCATTTTGTAAGGTTATTAAAAAAAAAAACATAGTATATCTCAGTTATCCTCTGACCATTGGGTTTCAGCTCTTAACTCAAGTTCAACCTGTTGCATGCAACATTGCGTGATAAACTGAAATATTTGTGTTCGTACATATATATGAACATACTCGTGCATCGTAAATAGCATATATGTAAGTATATAGGCTTACATTACTGTTATACCTATTCATGGTCGCAGTTATCCTTCTCGTTGTGTAGGAGGGATCAACTTTTGTGACTTATTGCAATAAGGTTGGCTTAGATTATATTGTTCGGCTGTTATGCTATACATAAACCTACTGGTCCTTAGTGATGCTAGATAGACCTTCCTCAGTTTAATTTGGAGTTCAAGAATTCAATAATTCAGGATGTCAGCGCTTTTTGTGAACTTTAAGAGCGACTATATATTGGTACTTCATCTAGTCCTTTGAACTGCAAAGCTTCTATATATCTAAGAACTAGTTGCAGATAAGACTGAACAGAAGCATAGAAGGTATTCCAACGTTGCTTTATTGCCTACTTCCCTGCACTTGCTGCATGTATCGTCATTACTTACGCTCATCTCGCTCGCATTGATACCAGGAAGTTTAACACCATCCTGTAAGCGCTGAAGTCGTTCCACCTCACACCTATTTGCCCAACAGCCCTTTTGAAAACTTCATTGCATATCCTTTTAGTGACTTATGTATTTCTTGTACCGGCCAGGTAGGCCGACGTATGGTTGATTATAACATCAGTTATTTTGTTTGCCATTATTCCTTTGTGACTTGGAAACCGGTATATATGCAGCAGCTCCTTCTACTGTCGCCATACTTTTAAGGAATGCGATGTGCGATTAACTGGCTGGCTATTGTCATATATATTGATATATTATTGTTTCCTGCATTGTAAGCTAAATAAACCGCTTTCGTGGCCGCAAAGATTTCCGTCTGGAAAATAATGTAATATTCCGAAAGCTTGAAAGGTCGCCTAAAATCCAGTTTCGAGCAATAGATTCCGGCGTCCACTTCATTAGCTACTTCTGATCCGCCTTTATAGAACTTGCAAATTCCGCTGGCGTGTGGCATTTTTTTGTGCGCAAGAGTATGTAGTCTATTTTATCCACCAAGCCCTGTTTTTTGAAGTATGCTCTAAAATTCTTGCAGACCATTCAGCTAACGCCGCCAAGATTGACTTCATCAAACCCCGGCATCTTCCTGCATACCAAGAGAGCTTTTGTTTTTCTACTCTACATTGGGTTTCCACATTAGTTTGCCAGTTAGGGTCCACTAACCGCATTGAAATATAATCTGATTATGATTAGAGAAAAATTTTTACCTAACCTCGAGGGGACGGTATTTTTTTTTTTAGTCATTTTACAAATTTTTGATACCAAGGTAATTGTTACAAGCTATAACAGTTGATCGAAGGAGACAAAAAGTTGGTTATAGCTTTAGTCTTATATTGTGAATTAAAGTTAGCTGTGATTGAGAGTTTAGTCGGATAGCTGCCTAACATAAATTTTCTAAAACTCAGATGTCAAGAAAAATCGAGAGTTCTTATCCAGGTTGGTCACATACCAAAAATTCATTTCATATTTTTATACTTCCACGCTCGATTATGAAATAAAAAAAAAAAGGTAAATTGGTTGGTAAGGGTCAGGAAGAATATAATTTTAGGCATTTTACCCTTTCGATTGTTCGTCCCAAAGTGTTTCAAAAATCATGAGAAATTAATTTCCTGGGGACTGTAGTGGCTTCTCGATGGAACTGCCTATGCAAAATGGATATATGAGAAATATGCATGGCAAGTGAAAAAAATGCATGAAGACTACAGCTTCATTCTAATCCTTCTGGATACGCCACTGCTTTTATACACACATATGACTAGATTTATGGTACCTATCACAACAAAGCACATTTAAAGCAAATGCAAATTTCATGTTAAATATCCTTTCCATTATTTTTGCCCCTGTTTGCAAGGCAAACATAAAATAAGCGCTAGTTTGTTTGTCGACCTTTCGCAGTACACTTGTGGTACCATATACAACTTTTCTGTGGTGAAAATACAACTTTTGTTTGGTGAAAAATCAAGCATGCACATTTTAACCGAATTATCTTTGTGCTTATTTATTTTAATTACTTTCGGTATAATATTCGCGGTAAGTAAATCGAAATAAATAGCAAAAATATAAATACGTTAATATACTATATCTGTACTATATCCATATACTATTTTGACTATACTTAGTGCTGCCATAAGTTCTGTTACAAGTTCCGGCCGGTATATTTATGAAACTATAATACATTCTTTCGATAGAGTTAATTTTAATATTAATAATAATTAATAATATATTATATATACATATTTTACTAAATGTTATACGAAATAGTCTAATTTTTCCTTTCACACAAGCGCTCAAATGATTCGGCGTTTGATCAATAGCAGCTCGTACATTTTCTATTGGCATTGACGCTGCTGCCCGAACCAGCGATGTTTTGAGACTCCAAATCACTGTGGGTTATTCAATAACCGTTGTTTTCTAACTCTGACTAACTCTCTGCAATCCAATCGGTTCAAATCTATACTTCGAGACAGTCAATCATCTGTAGCTATGATAGCAGGGATATTGCTTGCTTTTTAAAGACGCTCCTGACTTGAATAACTCGTCTGCTTTTTCGTTGCCGTCAATATTCCCATGACTGGGAACCCAAGTTATGAACAAGTTTAGTTGACCAGTGAGCTTAAAGTCTATCTACATTTTTGGACCAATCTGCAGTTTATCTTCGGCGACGATATGGCTAGCAGACCCACCTGACTAGGACTGGTAGCTCTTTGTATGCCCCTGTAGTTTTTCAGTAAAACCGCACAGACCTTATCTAATCTTAATCCTTCCGCTTGGAAGATGCTTGCTGAGTTTGGTGGACGGATGGAAAGAGATATCAAGATACTTGGTGTATACCTCCATCTCAATTTCGCAATTCATTTCATATTATGCCCGTCGGTATAGATTGAGTTAGTATTCTCCTCTTCAACTAAAACTCTTTTCTTTCACTTTTTTCTGGAAATTTCTCTTCAGTTTATGCACTGTACTTCAAAACAGAATTTTGTAACAGAATTTATGGCAAGACTAAGTATATTCATAAGTAAATATATGCGAACATGCTTCTATAAGAGAAGACCATAAAAAGTAAGAAAAAAATGTATTATCGGGATTTAAAACAATTTTGATCAAAGAAATAATTAAAAAAAAAAAGAAAATATATATATAAAGTACCACGTTACTTTCTGAATTTCTGTTAAAACTTCAATTCTTAGAATGATTTCTGTTATTTTCTTTTAACTTTTTTAAGGCCTCAACAGTTTGCATCCCCAATATGTCGATGGAGGACTGCACCAAACACGAGCAATGTTGCTCAAATTTTTGTCATCCAGATTTTGGTTTATGCTCATACGACGTCAACAATATGCCCGCAGTGCTATCCTAAGTGAAGTGCCCAGAATAAATTGTTGTTAATATTATTTTCCAACTTTTCTGTCGATATCAAACTATACCAGATTATAATAATATTTATTCATAGCTATTACACAAACCGAAGCGAGCCTTTCAGCGCTATCTGTAGTGTATTATTCGAGCTTTTTTTACAGCATCATCTAACGTGCGCTGGTCATCTGCGAACTTACTTTATGCCGCCATCTAACGTGGATTTTAAATTTTGAGAATTTTCTTAGAGTGACATCTAGGGTGTAACCTACTATTCAGTAACGAAGAGAAACTTAAATCAGATTTAAATTTTGAAATACTTCGAATTCGTAATTGTAAATGAAAATAAATGCAGGTGAAATAAAATAGTAACTTGGATTGGAACATGGAAAAGAAGCTTCTTTGGAAAATAAAATTACACAAAGGGAACAGAAAATATTTCCCCACCTTTGTAGGGAAAGCAGAGAACATAAAATCAAGAAATTATTAGAACTTCTACATTAAAAGAACCTTCTCTGTCATATACGTTCTCTGAGACTAGCATTTGAAGCAACGGAAATAAAATAAATACTTTGTCATGAAATTTAGGTATGAAACATTTCTCGTTGTACTCTCTTAATAAATATATTTTTCACACTAGATGGCGCTGTGGGAAAAGCTGTTTAAATTCCAACACATGTTAGAGGACGCTGCAAGGACAGCAGAATGTTACTAATTTGCGACAGATGGCGCTAAATTTAACGGTAAGCAGATAAAGTTAATTAATAGCGGGATTCTGTTATCAGTCTCTAGTCTCTATATGAGACATTTTGAGGTAAAATCTCAATTTGTGACTAGCTACATTTCACTAAACAGTCTCTAGCTTTAGTCTCAAAATTTTGCCTCAAATTGGAGAAAAGCAAAAAGAACTATTGGCTGCCATTTTGAATATACTGAATAGAGATCACCATAGATATTAATCGATTGTCGTTTTTTTTATATTTTGTAAGCAACTGAAACACGAAAAGGTTAAAAATAAATCAATATTACATGAATTTCGTTAATATTATGAAACAAGGTCAACATATATTTTTATTTTTTATTTATAATTATGTTTTTTGACTTTGTTATAGAAAAAGAATTAATGCAGGCATGATATTCACAAACATACTCTGTATATTTTTGCAGCCACTGTCTTGGCCTTTTTGATTTACTAACAACAGTTTGCTTTTAATTTTTGTAAGTTCTTCCAATCAAGTGCGATATCCGCAATTTTATTGTTGCAAATTGCTTTATTTCTTTTGTTTGTATGAATACTTATATATAATAATTTCATATAATCTGTGTTATATTTTTTAGCTAATGCCTTGAGATTTACAATCTGTGGCATTTGAGGCAATATGTGCGACTGCAAAAAAAAATTATTTTATGTTTATATGTGCGGATATAAGCAAGTACGCATGTGCGCGAGTATTTTGTTGATTTGTCAATTGTTTATTAGATTAGATTAAATTGTTTATACTTTTCAAATTTAGCAAGTCTTTCGTACAGGGTTTCGAAGAGGGATGCATTGATTTTGACAGCATTTCCAACCTGATTGCAGATGATCGTGAACAGGTCAATAGCTGAGCTGATAGGGATTAAGGCAGGCGGATGTTGTTTTTGCGTCTGACGTATAAAATTTTATAGCGGATTATTTAGTGCTGCTGGATGCAGCTCTGCTTCTCTTCTCTTCTCTGCTCTTCTCTTCTCTTCTCTTCTCTTCTCTTCTCTTCTCTTC